GTGTGGCACAGGCCCTGCCTCCCCCACGGACCCTGCTCTGGACTGAGGTACCATCTTACGCCTTGCCTGACCGCTGTCCCAATTGCGCTGCTCTCTCCTTAGCTCCAGGCTTGCTGTCTCCAACTCAAGACCACCCTGCTGCTCAAGCAAGCCTCCTAGAATGCAGACCCAACCCTGTCCCTCCCCTGCTCAACCCAAGTCCCTCTAAAACTCCAGTCGTCCAAAGTCACCCTTTCCTTCCATAAGCACACACAACAACTCAATGGTCCTCAGCCTGTCAGATTTACAGAAAGTCTGGACGCCCTTTACCTCTTGTCGCTCCCGCACATATTCCCGGTCACTTTTCAGTCTGAATTCTACTCTGTTCAATTTCTGATCCCTTCTGTGTGGATCAGAATGCCTCGGGCAGTAAGTGGCAGAGACCCCTCAAACTAGCTCAAGCATCGGGGAGGAATTGTTGGAGAGCTCCCTTACTGGGGGCAGGGGCAAAGCCGGCTTCTGGCTGAACTGGAACAGATGCTGGAAGGCCACCAGGACTTCCTCTCCCCGTCTCTATTCCCTGGGTGTGGAAGTTCCTCCTCTTAGTTTGGGCTCCTCCCAACGGCAGCCCACAGCCATGGAGCTGCTGCCCTTGGCCTCTCTCACTGTTTCCAAGAGGAATAGTCTCTCTTTGACGCAAAGTTTTAAAACCCCAGGGAAGGACCGTGATCAAGTCAGTTTAGATCAGCTATCCATTCCTGTACCAACGAGCTGTGGTCAGTGCAGGAAGGCTTCTCACGTACCCAGCTTGCTTGAGTGCACTGGGCCAGTCCACAGTGGCTGCTGCCAATCAGATCGCATGGTGTGAGGGGCGCCTGGGTGGCTCTGTCGGTTAAGCGGTTAAGCATCCGACCTCAGCTCATGTCATGATCTCACTGCTTGTGAGTTCGGGCCCCACATGGGGCTCTGTGCTGACAGCTCAGAGCCTGGAGCCTGTTTCAGATTCTGTCTCCATCTCTCTGACCCTCCCCTGCTCGCACTCTGTCTCTCTCAAATATAAAATTTTAAAAAACGTAAAAAATTTAAATCGCGTGGTGGGAATAGAGCACGCACTCTCAAACTGGGCAAGAGCGCCCCCCTCCCAAGAGGGCAAAGGCAGTTCTCAGAGGGCAGAACAATCTTGGATATGACAAAATTGGTGGCCCTCCAGAGAACCACAGTACATAACCAGATATACACTGTGTCAGTAGTATTAACATTTCGTACTGAGGAGGGCAATTAAGGAAAGAATCTAAAAAAGCTTCTTTCGGGGGCAGGAGGGGTGGTGATAATGAAAAAAATCAATATTGAGCAACACCGGAGTAGAGGATGACGCACATCTCAGAAGGATGGGAGCATTCTGTACAAAACAAACAAACGTCCAGTCCCCTCCCATTTCCTGCAGCACCTTCTCCGCTCCCCCCCCCCCCAAGCACCATGACACACGCTGGCGTGCACAGTCCTCTCCTCATGAGGACGGAGACTGGGGAGGCTCATTACAGCCCCGTTACTAGTGTTCACTGACCGCTCACACCCTGGGGAAGCCCTTCCCACCCATCCCCCTTGCAGCTGGTCAGCCCCAGAGGCCTTGTCCCGTTTTTCCCTCCGAGTCCTTGGGAGCATCCCCCACCCTGATTCTAGGCTTGCTACCCTTCTCCATCTTGGATGCCAAGCTAAGTGTAGGAATTTCCCCCGGTTGATTTTATGGTTGATTTTACGAAGCAAACCACCCACCTTCCTTCCAGACTACCCGGAGCTTGCCTTTCATAATCAAAAAGAAGCCTTGAAGGCATTTCAAAAATAAAAAGGCTCCTCCACCCTGGAGTCTGCCCTCAGGAACACAAAGTTCACGAATGACAATTGTGCATTTGCTTTGCTCAGATCACAGTTGTAGGCTGGGTTTCTTCCACCAGCACAGCCTCTGAAAGCCAAGAAGGGGCTATGGAAAGGACACCCCAGAGGCTTAATCGGTTTTTTTTTTTAAATTGTTATTGTAGTTAGTTTTTAACCCATTACATTTAGAGAGGTCAAGTTCAGACTCCGGTGACCTTCTAGGCTCCCCTAGGTCCCTAGGTTTGAGATAAGAATTCACACGCACTGATGAGGGAAGTGCTCCCAGGTGAGATTGGAAGATAAGGAGCAAAGCAGGACAGAGAAATTAAGTCCCACAGCAGTGAGACGTCAGGCCGAGTCCCAGCCTCTCCTGACGCCACAGGAGCCCCACCTGTTAGTTACACCGGGAGTTCGTCCACCTCTAGCCAAAGGAGCACCAGCTAGTCACTGGTTAAACATGCCATTGAGCATGGGGGGATGTAAACGCCTGGATCCCTGGGGACCCCCACCTCATACCAAATGCAGTTCTAGTTTTCCAAAGAGCACTCCAGGTCAGAGGAGGGGATTGGTTTGGAAGCACAAGGAATGCCCTGCTGGGGAGGACTGAGGCCGAGCACATATGTGCCTCCTCTGCAGATCCTCCTAGAACCAGAGAGGATCTAGCTTCCTTGCGGCCTGTCCCCTGTCCTCTGGCGCTACCCTGTCCCCACCCAGCCAGGCTGCACTTGCCTAGCTCCTTGCTTCTGCTCACCCTGACTTCTGCATCTGGAGTACAGATGTGCCCTTCTCCATCTGTTTAAATCAGCACCTTCCCCTGATGGCCCAACCGTCACTCCCTGAGCCGCCCCACACCTTGTACCATCTCTCAGCTCCCATCTCTGTTACTTATGCCCAGACCTCATGGGCTCCACATCCCTTCCCTCTTCTGGCACACTCCTCACACTCCCCAGGCTATGAGATTGGCCTTGAGGTCAGAGCCTTTGTTCTCTGTTGAGCAGGGTCATTGTGAGCCTTGGAGATGCCTCGTGACAAGTGCTGAATGAAGAGCACTGGTGAGCCTCACGCTGACCCAGCAGCTCTCTCTCTGAGTCTGCCCACCCTCCTGAGTCCTGCCAAGCCATCATCTCCTGCCAGGAGCCTGGAAGCCCATCTAAGTCCAGCCAGCCATACCCTGTGCCAAGATTGGGAATGGGGTTTCCACCCTGTCACCTTCCAATGAATAGGAAGATCTGGTCAACTTTTCCTCAGGTCTTCCCATGAAGAGTCCCCCCCCACCCCCTGTCCTACTAGCCACCACCGGAGCTGGGCTCTGTGCAACAGAGAAGGAAGGGGAGAAGAAATCAACAGAGGAGGGGAGACCAGGCCTCTGCCCTCAGGATAAGATCCTTGCCTCCTCCCCAAGCTGGTTGGAGGCCAGCCTCAACCACCTCAGGGACAGAGAACAGTCCACATTGAGGATGAGCCAGGGGCTGAAAGGCCATTTTGTGAGATGTCAGGGGAGGGTCACACTCCACAGTTGGTGCAGTCAGGTAAGGCTGCCTGGAGGAAGCAGGTGGAGGGGAGGGGGACCCAAAGGACAGAAAAGTGTCCCAGGCAGAAAGACCAGACTAAACACTGAGTGTCTAAGTTTCTTATACTCAGGCTGAACCTCCAGGAAAAGTTAAATGCTCCACTAATCACATTCCTCAAATGCTTTCCCTTCTAAGAGGCTGGACCTGCTGTTTAAGTTTCTAAATGCCCTACAGCCTACACCAGGCCCACCTTTAGAACAGTTGCAAGGGCAGCTTCAGTGGCTCCCGGAGAGCAGGCCTCACGGCCTGAATGAACCCTGACCCAGTCCCAGGTTGGACATGTCACCGCCCAAGGCCAATACTGCTCACCCTTGCCTGACATTAGGGTCCTTGAGCAATTTGCTGAAACATACCAATGCCTGAGTTCCTCCCTCCCACCACCTATAGCAAAATCCCCCAGGGTGGAGGGCCTGGCCTTGATGCATTTGTTGTCGTTGTTGTTTGGTTTTTTGTTGTTGTTTGGTTTTTTGTTGTTGTTCTTGCTTTTTAATGTTTATTTGTTTTTAAGAGAGAGCGAGAGAGAGCGAGAGAGAGAGCACAAGCTTGAGCAGGGAAGGGGCAGAGAGAAAGGGAGACAGATCACAAGCAGGCTCCACGCTATCAGCCCAGAGCCCAATGTGGTGCTTGAACTCACAAACCTCAAGATCATGACCTGAGTCAAAGTCAAGAGTCCAACGCTGAACAGACTGAGCCACCCAGGTGCCTCTGGGTTGTCGTTGTTGTTGTCGTTTTAATTTAGCAGTTTATTTCAGATTTACAGAAACATGGGAAGAATGGTCAAAACTATGCCATATACCCATTGCCCACATTTACCAATTATTTACATTTTGCTTTCCTGTTCTGTGTGTGGTGTGTGTGTGTGTGTGTGTGTGTGTGTGTGTGTGTGTGTGTATTTCTCAGCCAGCTGCAAGTAACTTAGAAACATGGTGCCCCTTTACCCCTAAATGTGAATGTACTTCTTAAAGGCAAGAACATTCTCTTACCCACAGTGTAGTTATCAAAACCAGGAATTTGAACGTTGATACAGTGCTCTTATTTAATCTCACATCCACATCCAAATCCAATTATCCCAATAGGCACGGGAGGCTGGGAAAGCTCCCCAGATAATCAGAAGATGCCCTCAGGAAGCCTGGTGGAGATGAGACTCGCCTAAGCCGCTGTGTGCTAAGGCCACAACCACAACCCATGTTCCCCTCCTCCCTTTGTCAATTCCTCTCTCCCCAAGTTGGGGACCTAAGGCGCTAGCGAAAGGGGCGGGCTGATAAAAGGCATTAACCCCCTGTGTGCAGGCTGGACGCAAAGCTTGGTCCCTGGCTGCGGAGGCAGAAGCCGCTGCCCAGCACCTGCTATAAATAACCCTGAGGGGCAGGCTGTGGGGAGGTGTCACGCCGCCCTGGGGTGGGGGTGGGGGTAGGGGGAAGAATGGCCCCGGGCCCAGGGCCTTACCTGGGCCTCCGCGCGCTGGTAGGGAGGGAGGCAGCCAAATGGACTCCGGACGGGGGTGGGTGGGAAGGAGGGGCAAGCGGGGCGGGACCGTCGCGCTGGGGAGCTGCGCTCCTTTCCCGAGCCACCAAGAGCATGGGGGGTCCCGCGGGGCCCCCGCGCCTCCTCCACGCCCCACACTCCCTCCTCTGTCTGCTCTGCCTCCTCCCGCCCCTGCTCAAAGTAAGTACTAAGGGAGATGGGGGTCGGTCTCGGGGTGGGGGCGCCCGGGAGCGCGGAGCTCCGGGGTAGAAGGCGGGTCTCTTTGCTCAGTGACTGGTCCGGGCTTCACTCAGCGCAGTTAGGAGCTGGGTTGGGGAGATCTCAGGACGTGGTGGCCAGGTTGAGGTTGGGGATCCCTGTACGGGATGAGGGGGTGGAGATAGATCTCTTGCCAGGTTGAGAGGGGGCAGGTGGAGGGGAGATGAAACGAACAGCTAGCTTGGGACACGGGACACGGAAGCCCTTATGGATGAGCAGAGCGTTCTGAGGGACACTCATGTCTAGGACAAAATGCGTCCTCCGGTCCAGAAATTCCCTATCCCCTGTCCATTGTGTCCCCTCCCCTGTGGGTGCCCCTCCATCTCCCCATCACACCCTTTCTCGCCGTACCCCAGTTCTGGCCCTTCCCACAAGGGATCACAAGGGCTGTGCGCCCCATCTCCTGCCACCCTGTGCCTCCTCTCTGTGCCTTAAACCAGGCAGCCCCCAGTCCCAGTTGAGCAATGGGACAGAGGAGGCACTGGGAGGACCAATCTAGCCAAGGGTTTCTGAAAACTGTGGGCACACACACCCCACCCCTGGCTGTGGCTAGAGTCAGGGTGTGAAGGTGGGTGCGGGGATGGATGATGGATGGGGCTATACAGAAAGAGCTGCAGAAGTGGGGGTGAGGCTAGGACGGAATGGTTCCCAGAAACAGATGCAGGAGGAATCCACCTCTAATCTTCTCCCCATTTTACAGATGGGGAAACCAAAGCTCAGAGAAGGAGGGACATCTGTCCTAAGTCACACTGCTCATGAAGAGCCAAGACATTAAAGGCGTTCAGAGGCCACACAGTGCAGGCGAGAAGCACCAGGCTAGAAGTCAGAAAACCTGGTCTTGTCCTGACTGTACCACACGCCAGCCCCTGGGCCTCTTTCCTGGGCCTCGATGTCACTGTATATACACAGAGGACTGGTTAACACTCGTTCAACAGATAGACAGTGAGCATCCATTGACTGCTGGCAAAGTGGCTTTGCCAACACACCTGATTCAAATCCCTGCTTTGCTGCTTAGTGCATAGCCTCAGACAGGTTACTCAAATTGTCCAAGCCTCAGTTTCCTCATGGGCAAAATGAAGGTCATATCAGTGCTTACTGGATAGAGTTGTCATGAGGAATAGAGATAATATTAGATAATAGAGAAAAGCTCTTAGCACCGTGCCTGGCACAGAGTAAGCACTCAATAAACTCAGCTATGGTTCTGTGCCAGACACTATAGGTAAAGCATGATGCCACCATGCATGATGCCCTCCCAGTGGGTTGGGTCAGGTGGGGGAGAGGGGCGGTCAGTGCCCCATAAGGGCAGATGGCTCTGATACACGCCAGGTTCTTTTAATGACATTGCATGCTGCACTTGGGATGAGTAGAGGCCATGGGGTGGGTTCACTATCACCTGCATCTCCCCAACCGCCACCTCAGATCCCCTGGGCTTTGAGCTCTTTTTGCTTCCTGACCCTTGTTCTCAAGATACATGCCTTTCACAAGAGCCGGATGTTAAGCCCAGGGCTGCCCCTTGACCCTCCCCTCTGGAGGCCATGATGCCAACTGCATAAGCTGATGAGCCGAGGAGAGCTTTCTGGTCCCTGCCCCCAGAGCCAGGCCAATGTGGAAGGGCCTGTGGGAGGGTCCCCTGGGCTCTGGGGGTGTCAGAACTGAGAACCTCAGAGATAACAGTCTGCATCCCTTAGAGTCAACCAGACCCTACCCATAGTTCCCTGGGAGACCTCAGCCTGAGACTGAAGATCAGTTATTTGCCCAAAGTTGCTCAGCACATAACCTCCTGGAGAGGAACTGAACTGTGATCTCTCTGGTCCTAAAGTGCAGGCCTCCTTGTGGTAACAGGATTTATTTCCGGGTCTTCGTCCATCTTTTCCGAGATTTCTGCTCACTGTGAAAAGAGAACATGGGACCCAGCGCAAGCGCTAGGGAGGGAAGGCGACACAGGAGGGGCCTGGACTCCAGCCCTCTCGTGTAATGAACTGACATTTAAGAAGGACGATGCTTGGTGGGGACAAGCAGGTGAAAGCACCTGTCCAGGGCTCCTGCCCTATGGAGTTGATAGCTTAGCAGGAGGCACTGGCAGGAAGAAAATAATGGCAAAGAGTAAATGTGCATTTGTAAACTCTGGTCTTCAGAACTAAGGAAAGCGTGTGTGGGTCATGGCAAAGTCTGTTGGAGGTGGACAGGACAGCAGGGATAGGGACGGGGTGGCCCTGGAGGATGGCAGAGGGGAGAGCAAGCAGTGAGGGAAGGCCCCGGACAAACCCCAACCCTGAGAAGAGATGGTACCAGGCATTTGGTGTCTGCTGGGTCCTGGTGGGATCAGATTTCTGTCCTGAAACCCTGGAAGCTTCCTGATTAGGGGAGGGGCCTGCCCTGATTTGCCGTTGTGGAAGTTCCAGCTGGAGGTGTAGTCGTGGGGCAGACACCTGGACCCAGCCCACACTGCCAGAGCCCAGAGGAGCCGAGCCTTGACCTTGGTGCTCCTGGTTGCCCTCGGAGGCCTTGGGGAAGCTGCTTCAGGAGACAGCATGTAATCACGAAGCCCATCTTGTGCACCAGGCTGGGCTAAGGGCAGAAGGTTATTTCCAGGTGGAAACCAAGGTTGAGTGAGGCTAAGCAATATGGCTGCCAGATTCTGAAACTCTTGATTCTAACCTTTTGAGCTACTTGGTTTACCCTCCGTGAAGATCCCAGGAGTCTACCAGCTCCGTTTGGCTGCGTTCAGCCTCTTGGACCTTCGGGTAGCAGCCCAAGGTCTCAGAACAGCACTTCTGTGGTCTCTTGCTCCAGGTGCTGCCTGCTGGTGGGTGCCTCTGTTCCAAGGAGGCTCAGCAACGAGACAAGTCCCTTAGCTCCAGAAGCCTGGACCCTCCCCGAGCTGCACAGTCCTTCCCATGACTAAGGCCAGGGCCCTGCACACCTTCCCCACTCACCCAGGGTCTGCGGGGTGTGGACAGGGGGCTCAAGGGCCCTTTGCCAGGAACTACATCATAATATCTTTTCCCCCAAATTCATCTACTCTCTGAGTTGTTGACTAAAGCCAATCATCTAATTTAATCTCTCTGGATTTTTTTCTTTTTTTGCCACTTTGTTGATGTTTATGTACTTTTCAAAAAACCAATTTGTCTGAGAGCACCGCTTACTTAATTTTGTATTCCTGGTAAGTCTTAAATTTGCAGCACTTTATGAATTACAGGACTATTCTGCATCCTCTTAGCTGCCATTTTCTACTTTATCTGATTTTAGCCATTATTAGGACTCCTCAGCCAGTTTGTCTAAAGCCACTTTATTCAAAATTCTAATTTTTTTTAAATGTCATTTCAAGTCCACCAGAGGGAAGGATAGATTATTCAGTAAGCTTATTTTGTTTATTCTATTTGGCATCTACACAGGGCCTAGCCCAGTTCTAAGTCCTGATATGCGTTACCTATTTTAAGCTTCAAAACACCCCTAGAGGGTAAGGCCGTCATTTTCCCCATTTTACAGATGAGGAAACTGAGGTGAGGTCATGTGCCCAAGGTCACTGTCTGGTAGTGGCAGGGTCAGGATTCAAAGCAAGCAGTCTGACTCCAGATTCTCTTCCCTCTGCAAAAATTTAATTAGGACACTCAGATACCAAAACAAATCAGAATGGAGTGACTTTTAGGTCAACTGGACATTAGATGAGTTAATAAGCAAGGAGATAATTTTAGGCCTAGTGACCTGTTCGAGGGCCTCCTGCTGGCCAGCTCCCTCCCTCCCTTGAGTGGGCCTCCCCCCTCCTGCACTTCCTCCATCCTCAGACATCTGAGTGAGGGCCCAGAGCTTGACATAGGTAAGGGGAGAGGCGTGGAGAAGAGAGAGCCACAGGCTGTCAGAGAGCACATGGTAAAAAGAGGCTGGGAACTTCTACAGGGGAGTTGTTGGCTGTTAGAACTGGGTGGGAGAGCGGGCGTCTCAAGAAGGGGCACCTGCTGGACCCCTCAGGGATGGGAGGGCCCAGAGGAAGCGGCTGGGGCTCTTGAGGTCCTCACTTGAAGTGTAGCACCTGGTAAGTTAGAACCAAGTATCTAGTCTCCCCTTCCAGAAGCCTGCCCAGATACTCCAAGAAAAGAATTCCCTACCCTCTGCCTCAACCATCCTTGGCTCCAGTACTGCCTCCTGTGTGTCTGTCTGCTCAGCGCCCAGGGTCTTCCTTCTCACTGCCATCCCCCCAGCATCCCCTTGTCCCTTGCCTCCCCCCTTCCCTCTCCCCCTGCTTCCCTATCTCGCCTTCTCCCCATCTCCGGCATCCTCTTCTCTTTCTCTCAAAGCTGAGTTTCTTCCTCCTCTAGCCCCAGCTCGGGCTCAATGAAATAAAACAGTGGGGAGGGATCCTCTGCATCCCAGAGGAGTCCTCCCTGACCTTGGGCAGAGAGGGAGGAGGCAGGAAGGGAGCTCACCCCATTCCTCGCTGGCGACTGGCAGCCTGGCCACAGGCTGTGGGCCCGTAAATCTCCCAGGCTTAGACTAGGGGCTAAATTTAGATGAAGCTCTGTGGCCAGAGCAGGAGGCAGCCTTCGGCTGTGCCGACACCGTGGCTCCAGGGAGGTGGCACCTTTGAGGCCTGCCTGGTCCCTGGAGCACACATTCTGCCTGGACAGGCCCCACGGGGCAAGAACAGAAGCTGGCATCTTGGCTCTGCCCTGCTGCCTCCTCCGCCTGCCAGGGCCTCTCCCCTGCCCCTTGTAACATGAAGGCTTCCAGTTCTGGGCACACAGAGGCCAGGACCAGGAACTGGCTGGCCTCAAAGGGGGAAGTGAGAGAGAAGGACTCTGACAAGCAGGAAGAGAGCCCAGAACCTGAGCTCCCAGAATTGGGGGTAGGGGTGCCGCTCCACCTGGCTGACGGGGCTGTGGTCTCATCTGTCTGTTTGTCCATCCAAGCAAACAGTTACTGAGCACCTGCTATGTGCCAGGCTCCAGATTGGGAACTGGAGACACAGATGGGAACCAGGCAGATGTGGGCCACCTACAGTCTCCCTGGATAGAGGTGAGGGGTGGCGAGTGGCACTCTGCCCCTAGGACACCCAAGAGCTGGGTACAGAAGGCTCAATTGTTCCCTGCAGAAGAGAGAATAAGTTATAGAGCCCAAACCTCTCCATGTGCGAGGTCCTGCCTGGCTGGCTGGGTCCGCCTACACCCCTCCTGTGACCCTGCGTTCTGCCTAGAGGCCCCGCTGCACGGGTGAGAACAGCTTCTTACTTGAGTGGCTTCCCGAGCCCCACAGCCACCGTGTTTGGGACTGTGTGGTAGTCTCGGCATCTGTGGACCACGGGCCCTCCTTCAATTCCTCACCCAGGACCGATGCTTCTGTGTACCTGACCAAGCCACAGCCTACCAGATTGGCTGTCCAGTCCCCCCTCACCCTGCTTGCTGTGTGGCCTTGGGAGATGGCTTTACCTCTCTGGGCCTCAGTTGCCTCCTCTGTACAACGGGGTTATTTGCAGCTACCTCAGAGGCTGTTGCGGGGCTTAAATGAGCCGTCATAAAGCCCTGAGAGTTGTGTCTGGCACTTTGTAAGTGCTGATTTCACATTAAAGAAGTTTCTCCTCACCTGTCTCCCTGTCCCCTGTGAACGGAATCCTCAAACCAGAGGCTGGCCGCTTCCTGGGCAGCACCTATGCTTTGCTGCCTCCAAGACTTTGCTCAGCTCCTGTCCCAGGGATCTCTATCTGCTCTTCTTACCCCTCCTCCTACCTAGGACCTATGTTCCATGCTTTGGGACTGAGCTCCAATGCCCAGCCCTCCACGGAGCCCCGAGTTTCCTCAGCCAGCATTGCCTGGGCACTGCTGAATGGTGCGCCCAATGAGGAGGCTTCAGGCTGCATGCCCAGGGCCCTGGCGCGGGGAGGAGTACCGAGGGCTAAGGGGTATCGGTGGTGGCTAGGGAGCTGGGGAAGGAGGGACATTGGTTCTACAAAGCTTTTCTAAAGAAGGGTTTGAGTAGGGCCTTGAACCCCCACCCCCTATCTCTGAGCTCTCTAACTGGACCCCTCCTCAAGTCCTTGACAGGGGCCACCATTTGATAACATGCCTTCTGTATGCCAGGCTCGTGACATGCAGGCATTTGTTTAATGTATCCCAAAACCCTATGGGGCTTTGTATTATCTCCAATTTAAAGATGAGGAGAGTCAGGCTCAGAGAAGTTAAGTCACTCGGCCAAGGCCACAGAGCTAACAAGCAGCATGCCCAGAGCCCTGAACACGGGGGTGTTTCCAGTCTAGCTGCTCCAAGAGCTCATGGCCTAGGCCTTGAGGTGTAACTACTCACAGCCATGTCTCTGCTTTCCCTGGCCTACCGTGGGCTTTCTTCCTCTCTGCCCACCCACCGCCGCCACCAGCAGCAGCTCCTAAAATAGGGACCTCCAGGGTATGTCGTGGGTTTGAACTGAGTCAAATCCACCCAACCAGCCCCTTGAGGAGAATGAACATCTTTAGCTGTGCTGGCTTAATTGAACCTGTGGAGAAGTTACAGAAGCTGGAGCCCAGATCTGGGAACTATTCCCGAACCTCTTCTGATCGGCTCGCCCATGCTGCCCAGACCTGAAGGGCACACATCAATACTGAGCACGGTCACCCGCGCCCCAGTGCTCTGCTCAGCAAGGGGACTTGGCCACAGCCGGAGACCATAGAGTCTGATGCAGGGACAGCCCCGCAGTGCCCGAGTGAGGAGGCCCTGAACCCCCTCCGTCTGTGGGCTCCGAGCCATGGGGCTCAGACTGCGCCCCCCAGTGATGAACATGAGACAGCCTAGGGATGCGGTCAAAATGTGCAGCTGGAGGCTCTGAGAGAAGGAGCTTGCATCTAAGACGCAAAATCTGATCAGCCTGGAGGCCGACGATCAATACCATGTACCTCTGGGTGGAGCACTGTCTCTGCCGTGACCTCCAGATGATGCTGATTCCCTGGAAATTCTGTCCCCCCAAGGAGGGCATCACCAGCTGCTTCTCAAATGAGAAGGGGGTCGGGAAGTGTATGATGGGTCAGGCCTAGAGCCCACACTCTCCCCAGGCCCAGCTGAGCCTGGGGCCTCAGAATTCTTCTGGAAATCCCAAGACAGAGTGTCCCCTCCCCTTCCTAGCCCACCTCACCACTGGCAGGGCCTTCCTGCTGCCCGAGACGCTGATGCTGAAGAGCTCCCAGTAGCTCCCGGGACATGTGAACGGCAAGATCATGGCCCCCAGTGTCTGTCTTGCAGGCCGAGAGGCCAGAACTCCCAGCTCATGGCCCAGAGCCCCTTACAGACACACACACATACCCACAATGCACCCTACGCATGTACTACTCACACAACCGCGTGTGCTGCACAGACATAATATACCCCCCGCCACACACACACACACAACACATGCCTCTGCTCTCCAGCACCTCCGTCTGTACCCAGCCTCCTGGGACAGAGTTGGCTGGTCACAGGTGCAGTGACTGCCTATGAATGGCGTCCCTGCTGCCCTCAGCTCTCTGAGAAGCAGCCGGCGGTGGATCTGGCCAGTTGGAGTTATTATGGAGCTCCAGGTCGGCATGCTGAGGCTAAACGTGCAGTCTTGGCTAAACGTGCAGCCTCCAGCCCTGACACAGGAAATGGACTGAGCCACATGTGAGGAACGTGATGTCTGAGGGCTGTTGGGCTATAGCTCCAGGGACATCCTGGGGCAAACACTGACCCAGCTGCCATGGAGAGATCAAGTGACAGGCAAGGGAAAGGGGAGGGGTTGCCTGCTGGTGGGCAGTGCCTTCTAGAATCTTGGAATCAGGAATGTCAGGGTTGGGAGGGGCCCAGAAGTCATTTTGCAGGCACGAGCACATACTCACAAGAACATAAGTGCACACATGCACACGTGCACACACGCACACACACACACACACACACACACACACACACACAGAGGCCACAGAGTAGGAAAAGTGGTGGCCTTGGGAGAAATAGCAGACAATTCTAGAGTTAGAATTCTAGAGTGCATTACTCTCATCCAGTGGCACATCATGCATTTCCCAGCCTCTCTGCCTTTGCACATGCTGTGCTCTCTACCTCGGCTGCTCTTCCTGGTGCCATCCTTATCAGCTGGGCAAACTCCTACTCAGTCTCCAAAGCCCACATCAGCATGACTTCCTCCAAGTTGCTACCCCATTCCACCTCAGCAAGTTATAGATGCTGTAGCAACTTGGTCACCCATCCCTCTTTCCCACCAGAAGATGGGCTCCTCGGGGGCAGAGGTAACCACATTCACTTTATGCCTCCACGCCCAGCACCTACTTTCACGGTTTTCTCAGGAGATGGGATCCTGGATGGTTTTTATCTTTGGATGGAATGGCCATGGCTTCAACAGCCATGTCTATTCCCTGCTGAGTGCCCACATTGGCATAGTGGTCCCTTCCTTTCCCCCATCCATTCTTCTGCTTGCCTCCAAAGTGCTACCTCTTCCAGGAAGCCTTCCCTGTTTTAACCAATCCAGGGAAATCTCTTCCATGTGGAGACACCTTTTGTTGTAACTGCCTGTTTCCCTGTATGACAGGGAAACAGAATTATATTGTCTACTCTCCTCCTCTCCCTTCTATACCTTCTAAATTTAGGGGATCCCTGCCCGGCCTGGGATTACCCCAAGGACAGCCGCTGGGTCTTCCAACTAGGACCAGACACATAGTAGGCATTCTACAAATATTTGTTAGCTAAATGAACAGCTGGTGGACTCCCACCTGGCTTTGCTGACAGAAGGACACGGGGCACATCCCGTCCCGAGGAGGAGAGCTTTTGAGGCACGGACTAGAAAGCACAGATGCCCGCTTCAGAGGTCAGGCTGCACTGGACCACTTCTGAGACTCTTTCGGGCTTCCAGGCCTGGCCAGGCTGCCATCTTGCTGCCTGCATGAGTGACGGAACAGGGTACGGGGAGCAGACAGCTGCTACAAGGGCTAGCCAGGGCCTGACCTCTGACCCTCGTCCGTCCTATCCCCTAGGCTGCTGGGCCAAGCCAGGCACCCATAGACCAGCCCCTGTGGGCAATGCTGGAGCGGTACTGCCATGCCGCGATGACTCTTGCCAACCTCTCAGGTAAGCCCACCGCCCCCACCCTGTAGCAGGCCCCAAGAGATAAGGGTGAGCCTCGGGGCCAGGATGGGGGAGGCAGCTCTCTTGGACCAGCCCAAGCTATGTGAGATGGGGACTGTTGGCTTCTGGTCCTGCCTCTTGCTTCTGTCCTTGAGCAGGCCCCTTCCCCGGGTGGGGCTCAGGCCCTTCCCTGATGATGAAGGACGTGGCTGGGCACCCTCTTCCAGCCCTCGGCTCCCAGCTCCCTGCAACCTAAAGGAAGCCAGCTGGGCTGGCCTTCAAGAGCCAAAGGAGGGGGTAACCCTCTGTTTATAAACTTGAACAAGACCAGCAGAAGGTGTAAACCGTATTCTCTGGTTGCCGTGGCTACAAGTGTCACTTCGTGGTAAGGACTTGCCAGACAGCAGCTGGGCCTCTGAATTCTGACTCCTCAGAGTTTTCCTGACTCAGAGTCAGGGTCAGCCACCGCAGAGCTCAGAAAAGCCTTGGGCTCTCGCGGGCTCTGGAGAGCAGTCCCCAGGCCCTGCCCGGTGTGCTGGTCCTCTCAGGTCTATACCCCCAGCAGCAGAGGGATGGCAGAGGGCTTGCCACCAAGGCAACACGGAGTTAAGGGTGCTGTCCAGCAATGGGACCCAGCCCCACACGCAGCCTGGGTCAGACATCCAAGAGAGAGGCCTTGCTGCCTGCCTGCCTTTCAGTGCAGGGGCCAGAGCTCAGATGCGGGTCAGACAGACCCAAGCCTGGATCCCACCTCCTCCACCTAGAAGCAATGTGACCCTGCTGAGTCACCTAAGCCATCTGTATTAGTCTGCTAGGGCTGATGTAAAACACTGCAGACTGGGTGGCTTAAGAAGAAATCTATTTTCTCACAATTCTGGAGGCTAGAAGTCCAAGATCAAGGTGTCAGCAGAGGTGGTTTCTTCTGAGGCCTCTCCTTGGCTTGCAGCAGCCGTCCCCTCCCCTTTGTCTTCACATGTTCTTTCTTTTGTCCACCTCTGTGTTCTCAGTTCCTCTTCTCTCTTATTTTTTAAACTTCATTTATTTATTCTTAATTTTTTAGAGTGTATTTATTTTGAGGGAGAGAGCACAAGCAGGGTAGGGACAGAAAGAGAGGAGAGAGAAAGAATCCCAAGCAGGCGCTGCACTGTCAGCACAAAGCCCAGTGCAGGGCTCGAACTTATAAACCATGAGATCGTGATCTGAGCTGAAATCAAGAGTCAGACGCTTAACACCCTGAGCCACCCAGGTGCCTCTCGGTTCCTTTTCCTGCAGGGACCCCAGTCACATTTGGATGAGGTCTGACACTGACGACCTCATCTTCATTTCATTACCTGTCTCCAAATAAGGTCGCATTCTGAGTTATCGGGGGTTAGGACTTTAACATATGGATTTAGGGGGGACGTAATTCAGCCATTCAGCCCATAAGACTGTCTGAGCCTCAGTTTCCGCATCTGTTAGAAACAGATCTAAGTCAGGCTCAGAGGCTTACTGTGGAGTTTGGTGAGAGATCGTGGAGACACCCAGCGTGGGCCATGTCAAGTAGCCACCAGCCAGGAAATGAAAGGCCCCCATTTCAGGGGGTCCCCAGCCAGAGCTCTCTGTTCTCAAGAGGGAACACTGGTTTATCAGCACCCTCCCTGCCTTCTCCAGCACACGGTACAGATCCTAACCCTCCCCGGACCCCTGGTGCGTGGGGATCTGAGTCTAGAGGGGAGGAGTTCAACTTGCCCAAATAGGCCTCCCCTACTTAACTGATAATATCATTTATCCGTTTGTAAATGGGATATTGATACAATCTGGGGGGGAAAGAGTTTTTACACATCAAAGAAAGAAGACCATGAAAACTCATTATCACGCCACCTGGAAATTTTTATATTTATATCCCCCAGGACTTTATCAATCTATAGAGCCTCATGTTTTTTCACTTCTTTTTTTTTTTTTTTCCCCACAAAACTTGGGATGATCCCTGTGTCCACAATTCTGTAACTTGCTTTTTTTGTCTTAGACCTCAGGGTGAGCACTTCCCCATGTCATTAAATACGCCTCCACCGTATCACTGATGGTGCTTCCTAGCAGTGGTGGGTGGGACGCACCATCCTTCACTAACCTGCCCTTAGGTTGGGACGCATATACAGTCAGGATGCCCTTCAACCTGAGGTTCCTGTATGAAAGTGACCTCCTTTCATGATTACAGTGATCCCCACTGATTGCGAAAATGAACCATGACTAATATAAAGTTCAGAGACGAGTGAAACCAAACAATCTATTGTTTAGACATCCATACATAAGATAAAACTGAAAAACTAAGAGCCGGGGAATGGTAAATGAAATGTTCAAGAGATTGTTCCCTCTGGGGAAGGAGTATTTAGATAAATATGTACATGACTGGCAACAATCTAGTTTTAGATTCAGCGATAGATTCCTTCTATTTACCGCTACATACAAACTTCCATAAAAGAAAAAATTAAAATAAAATAAATTTAGGCCACGTGTGGGCTAATGATGACAAGTGGTCATAAATCAAAGGCTAGGACTCGTTAAATTGTATGCCTCTGAGGTGCAAATGAAGGGAAACCACACATAATCACAAGAGACTTCAGGCAGGCTTTGGATTATTTGTTTTGTTCATCACAGAGGCACCTAGTAGGGCATAGATTGTAAGACATATTTATCCAGTCCTTAGGCAACATAAGGATCCTAATGGATTCACGGATCCCTTGAAATAAAGTAACTCCCCAGGCCAACATGTGCAAGTGCATGTGTGCATGTGTGTGCAGACACGCGCGCGCGCACACACACACCAAGGCTGGTCAAATGGGAAAAGAGGCTTGGCCAGGGAGACAGAGCTGCTGCCAAGGCCTGGAGCATTCTGATGGGTGCTGGAGGCCAGTTAGTGAACACGACCAGCCCTGCCCTCAGGGAGCCATGGGATGTTAGAGGAGATCGTAGAAGAACTAACAACCTTGGTGTGATATAGGCCAGCCCCAAGAGATGGAGGCAACGCGGAGGGCCACCAACCCAGACAAGTCCAAGAAGGGGAGAGCCAAGCTGAACGTTTGAAGGGCAAGTGGGAGGCAGCTAGGCTAACTGGAGTGTAGAGCAGTAAGGGCCTTCCCAGCAGAGGGAACGGCACATGCAAAGGCGTGGGGTATAGAATGGTTCCAGGGAATGACAAGTTGTTCCAAAGAGCATCTCAGGCTTGGCAGGAAGGAGAGCAGGAAGGATAGACAATCTTGAAGAGTGTTATTTGCAGTGGTGAAGAAGCTGGGCTCCATCCTGAGGGCAATGGGGAACCACTCTTAAGAGGAGGAATGCCATGACCTTAATTGTAGAAAAAAATCACTTCATCCGCCCAATGGAAGAGACAGGGAGCCCAGTCTGGCTGCTGCAGACTTAAGGTGGCCCCGGGAGGGGTTGAAGGGAGAAATTCCCTTTGTCCATCTATAAATGAGAATGTGGGATTGGAAAGTTTCTGAGGGCCTTCCTGATCCCATAGCCTGGTCCCCTGGTTGGACTTGAAGATATCATGTCTTCTTGGCCATTTTCCTGTACCAAGATGGCATAGGATGTGGGGTGGCGGGGGGAAGAGTGTCTGTCTGGCCTGTGGGCACCATCTTCAGTGTCACCAGACAAGAGTAAGGCACCTTCTGGCCTCTCCCAAGACTCCATACCCTCAGCAGCCCCATTATAACTCCCAGAAAGCCCCACAACGTTGACCCAGATCTGCCTACCCCTTGGGTATTCCGTCTGACCAAGCAGAGCCCCTCAGTGAGGCAGAGATAGACTCTATCTCTCCTTAGAGTGTTTTCCAGTGCTGTTTTCCAGCTGACATGTGATGGATGGTGGGATGAATGGGAGCATATATGTGATTCCATGAAGGCAGTGATTGCAAGACGCTGTGTGTGTTTCCAGTGTGCTCTGCACGCCCATTCAGCTGTGCGCTGCAGGATCAGGATGGGTGTGCACGCTTGCCTGAAACTGTCCACTGCCACTGCCGCTGACATCAGAGGTGGCCCAGGGGCACCTGCCTCACCCCATGCTGCCCCGACACACAGGTATCTTCCCCAGCACTTGTCACACTTCCCTGAACTTACCTGCAACCCGTCTCACTAGCCTGGGGGCACACACAGCCACCCCACTAACTCTCCCCTACAGTGTCCGGCCTGAGAGCCCATCTCCATCCCATCTGCTCTGCTTCCTTAGTTAGCAAAAAGGCCCAGACTTTATTTGTAGTTGGATTTAATCTAATTGAGGGAATTTTTAGCTCGCTACCATTTCTTCCTCATTTACCTATTTTCAAACACTCACGTGAGCTATAAAGTCAACTCGTTCCAAAGCTGTTTCCTCTCTGCCACATCTAGAATAACAGACGATGATGCTTGTATTAATAAGGTCCATGAAGAAAGGTCCCTCATCCTGGAAATCAGGGCACCTTGGGTCCGTGGGTCTGTGCTCAGGCCCTGACTGGCCAGTCAAGGTGTGGAACAGCTGTTGGCTCTGCCTCTAAAATAGTCACTTTCCAAAGGAATTTATATTACAAGTGCTTTCCCAGTGAAGAGCGATCTGAGTGCCCCCCCCAGGCCATCCTGCTCTGCAGAAAGTTGCACGTGGGACGAGAAGTCTTGGCCTCTTGTCGCTGGGCACTCACCACACCCCGAGATGGCTAATTCCTCTGCGCAGTGGTTCTGGGGAAAAGCACATTTATAAGCTTGATTTCTCCCTTTCCCCCTGTACTGTGATCGGCGAGTGGAGGGCCCTCCTTTGTGCATGAAGGAGACTCTTTCCTGTAAAGACATGAGCTGACCCAGCCAGCCACATTCTGGCCTATGTGGGACCCTGTGGGGTAGGGCTTAGCCTGGGACTGGGGACTCTGCCTAGGGTTGGGTTTGGGACTCAGGTCTGAGGCGGGGGTTGGGACTCAACCTACCCTCCTCCGCTCCTGGTTGTTAGGAATGCCAAGGGATCTTTGCCTCCGTGGCTGCCCAGAGCCGAGCCAAGGGCTCTAACTGTCCATTCAAGAGGCAGAGGACGGGCTGGCTGGTGAATCTGCACCTTGTACCTGTCAATCAGCGAGCCCTGGAGAGAGTCCAGTGCTCATCCCTGGTCTCAGTGCTCTCTGGCTAAGCTGGGGCAGTGACAGAAGCATTCATATGGAGGCTAGTGAAATTGGAGGATGCAAAGGCAGCCCAGCCCACCTCATCCCCTCTCTCTAGAGGGCATCGTGCTAGTTCAGGGTGGTATTGACCTTCTCTGGCAGCTTTGGCCCCAGAGGAGGCCAGCAAGGGGGAGGACAAGACTAGTTCCCTGGAGACCTCCAGCCCATCTGGGACTGGGTCCCAGCTCTCCCTGCCCTCTCAAGATAGAAACACTCCACACACACTCACACGCACAGGCACATCTCTCTCTGCCTTTGCATCTCATAACTCAGAACCAGAGACTCCCAGGGATGGGAGGGGCCTCAGAAAACCTTTCACTTATGGAGAAACAGCCCCGAGAGAGAGGGCAAGAGCTGGGGTACCATGCAGGGAGAGCAGACAGAGAGGCAAAGCCAGAACCCAGGCCCTGCCTCCTGAGCCCGGGTCCCCCCTGTCAGCAGGCATGAGCAGCTGGCCCACCCCGGACACTCTGACCATGAAATCAGAACAAATTATGGGTAAGTCCATATAGAGGCGTTTAGGTCCTACATGCGCGCGTGCCCGCGCATGGGTGCGCACCCACACCCACACCCGCACACTGGTATGGAAACTAGTTTCAGGTGGCCCTGTCCAAAGCCAAGAGGAAGAGACATTCTCGCTTCTCCCTTTATTCTCTCTGGACCTTGAGATAGTAAGACCAGGGTGTTTGAGGTCCTACAGATAATTTCACCCAATTTCTCCCCTGGACTTCCCCATCTCATTAAATGGCAACACTGACCCCTCCCCAGTCACCCAAGGGGAAGACACGGTGCTATCCTTGCCTCCTGGCTCCTGCTGAAATCCACCCGCTCATCCCTCTCTCTAATCCCTCTTCTCCAGGGGAGGCAGTCCTCTGAAATACCTCTCCATCCCAGCCCCACGGCCTGGTGCAAGCGTTCAACCGTTCAGCCCACTCGGATCTCACGAGACTTTTCCGTGGCCTCCCTGCTGCCCTCAAAGCCGCTCCAATCCATGTCCTTCCCAGAGGCCACCGGGGCTTTTCCAGAGCACATAACTGCACGTGGACTCTCCGCTCCCCCCACCTCCCGCCTCCAGGGCCCTCGGCTCTAGGAGAGGAAACTCAGGCGCCAAGCCGCTCAGTCCTGGCTCTCCCGGAGGGAGGCCGCGGGGGGCTCCCCCACGCGGGGGCGGGCGCGCTTGGTTACCCGGTGCTGCCCGGGGGCCTGCGGTCCTCGGATGGGGCATTCCCCCGCCCCAGGCCCACCATGTCCAGGCCCGCCGCCCTCGTCTGGACGGTGCCCGCGCCGGAGAAGTCGGACTCCGAGCAGGGCCGGGAACCGGGGGACCGGTGGCCAGGGGGGCTGGAGGCTGGGCGCGACCCACTGGAGCCACCCGGCCCCGCCCCCTGGCGCCGCCATTGGCCGCGACCGAGCGGGTGGACCCGCGGCGCGGCTCCGCGCGCTCCGCAGCTCCACTCCGCGAGGGTCCGGACTTGGCAGCCCCGGGCGGTCGGGCGCGGCTCCCCGAGGCTGCCCCGCAGGTCGGGGACCGCGCGAGCAGGGGCCCGGACCCGGCACTCTCGGCACCGCTCACTCTGGCACCCGGTCCCTCGCAGCCACGCAGGGTGCGCACTCACACTCCCTGTCGGCGCGCGGCTCCCGGGCACGATGGACGCGGCGCTGCTCTACAGCCTACTGGAGGCCAACTGCAGCCTGGCGCTGGCCGAAGAGCTGCTCTTGGACGGCTGGGGGCTGCCCCTGGACCCCGAGGGTAGGCGGAGACGAGCGGCGCGGCGGCGCGGGGCTCCTTCCCCGGCGTGCTGAGTGCGCCCCAGGCCCCGCGCTCCGAGCGCCCCGTGCCGCCGGGCTCCCACCTGAGCCCCTCTCCTCTCTCTCCCGTCTTCAGGTCCCTACACCTACTGCAACACCACCTTGGACCAGATCGGGACGTGCTGGCCCCGGAGCGCCGCCGGAGCCCTGGTGGAGAGGCCGTGCCCTGAGTACTTCAACGGCGTCAAGTACAACACGACCCGTGAGTGCCCCCCGACCCTCCGCCGCGGGCTCTGCTCCCGTCGCCCGGAAGAGCGGTTTAGGGAGTGGGGACGACTCCGGACCCAGCGTCGAAGACTTGTTGTGGGCCGTGGCAGCGTCATACCGCCGGACCTTTTATAATGCTGCGGGCGCCCCCCGTCCCCACCCCACGGTAGCTTCAGACCTCCGTAAGACAGTGATTTGCCCAGAGCCCAGAAAGGGAAGGAGGAAATTCTTCCTCCCTTTTGAGGGCGAACCTGCCTCTCACAATATATTCTCTGAGTGCCTGAAGTTCCCCTCTTTGTTTAGCCAATGCTAACCACACCAAGGAGGAGGGGTCGCATATGCTAGGCATCTAAACCCCAGGGTGTGTGCGGTGGTTAGACTCTTTACTACCAGAGAGGAAGGAGGGCACGAGGCAGGAAAGATGGGAGTGCGCACTCTTGTTGGGTGGGGGCCTGCGGAACACAGGTACTTCTGGGCCAGAGTGTGTGGGTGTGACCTCATCCCTACCTGGATGTCCAGACTGGCCCCCTGGACGGTGAGTCAGGGCTCCTGGGCAGCGTTACTTCTCCTGCCCAGGTATTGCGTGGTGTCTGAATCAGGACCACCCCCCATCTCCTGGGGGGAACAGCCGGTGCCTTCCTTCCTCCTGGCAAATCACTGGCTGGCTTGAACCTCTGGAGAGGCAGCGGTGGAAGCTGCTGGAGTCACAGAGCATCCAGGTGGGGGGATGCAGCGTGGGCACTGGGAGTGAGGGGGCCAGAATCTCTGCCTTGCGCAAGGCCTCATGGGGGCCAAGTGGGCGTGTCTTGTGAGGCCGTGGGGCACAGCATCACTGGCCCATCTTGACTGGCCACTGGCATCTCCAGCCCCAGTCCCCCCCCCCCCCCCCCGGCAGAGAGAAGTCCTCCTGAGAGCTTCAGGGCTTGGGTTGTAAATTTATCTGAAGCCCCTCAAGGTGAAAACACTGTAGCAACCTCTCTCTGCATGTCTGTGCCTGAACATAGCACAGCCCCCTGTTACCCACACTCACCCATGTGCATGCCCCGCCACCCCACATACACATACACATACACACCTGTCCAGACTCTCAGGGGCTGAAGCCTTCAGTGAGAGAGATGGCTAGAGGGCAAGACAGCCTCGCCTGCCTCTGATGCTAAGCAGCACGCCCTTGTCTGCCCCGGCGGAGGGCTCTGGTGGGCCCGGGGAGCGGCTGTGCTCTGAGAAGCCCATCAGCAGAGGTGCTCCTAAGGAAGCCCATCGTACAGGTAGTAGAGCCACTGAGGACCATTTCTGCATTATCCAAGGACCTGCTTCCTATCCGTGATAAAAACAACCCGTCTGGGAGGAAGTGAGGTCCCTGACCCAGGAGGTATGCAAGCGGAAGGAATGACTCTCATGCTCCTTTCCAGTCCTGAGATTGTAAAACCGTGCTTTTAGGGTCCTGTGTGCAAGATCACAGGATCATAGGGTCTGTAGTTCAGACTGGACCTGGGGATGAAGTGAGGTGATGAGACATCTCAACCTCATGGTCTGTGGACCCTTAGGTCTGCTCTGGTTCCTACCTCAGCCCGGGCTGTCCCCTGCTCTCCCCAACCAGCCTGGAGCCCCTTATGGGCAGGGTCTGTGTGTCTTTTTTAGAGCTGAGCACAGTCCTTAGTCATTCCTCTTACTAATCAGCTACTATATTCGAACCACTGCCCTGTCATTGACAGCCTCGCTCACAATTGCAACAGACAAAAGGAATACAGGGATAAATGCCCTGATGGAGGGGGACAGGGGGGCTGTAGGATGGGGGCTAGGGGACAGACAAGGCAGGGAAGACTTCCCGAAGGAGATACTGGAGCCCATAGCACCCCTCACATCACATCAAGTGAGAGGCTGAAAAAAGGGCAGGGTGCCACCGAGGTTAGTAAATGGAGTGCCAGTTAGCTCCAGGTACCTAACGAGCGATTTTCCTCATTTGGACCAAAGTGCTGCCCACACGTGGCATGGGGTGCAGGGAGCATTGCCATTACCAGTGCAGCCAGCTGAGGTGGGAAGAGCGAGGAAGCTAATGGCAAGGGAACTGTGATTGATTTCTCCCCTGCCCTGCCTCCTGGACGCTGTGTGCCCTTGCCCTTGCCCTGCTTGCATTTTCAGTGGGGTCTTTCCCTTACAGAGGATTCAGGGAGGGAAAGAGCTCCTATGAGAAGCCTTGGGCAAAAGGAGGCTCCTCTTCCTGCCCAGTTCTGCTGTCTGTCCTGTAGGCATCCCCCCACTGAAGCCACCTTCTTTAGAGGGCCAGCATTCCTGGGGTAAGATAGCAGCTTAGCCGTTAGTCCCCATGAACTTTCTTCCACTCACCTGAGCACAGAGAATCTGTCCCAAAGCTACCAAGAGTGGATCGTATTCCAGGCATCATCTACCACTGAGAGAGCTTTGCACACACGATCCCCCACATCCCCACCTCCCGAAGGTCCCCTGAGATATGTGCTGCTTTTATGCCCATAGTGCAGACAGGAAAAATGAGGCTTAGAGACACTAAGTGACTTTTCAAAGTTATATAATCCACTCCTATGCACCAGCACAGACAGAGGAATCCGCAGCCCTCACTCTTAACCACGGGGCGGTCCTGCCTCCAAAGAGACAGTTCTTGAGGAGAGTTTAGAGGGACGGAAACAGGACCCGTGCCTCTACCCTGGAAGACCCGGGAGGGCTTAGCCCCCTGAGCCGGACTTCTAAGGACCAGTGGGATTTTCGCGGGTGAAAGCGTAACAGGTATACAGGAGGGGATGCAACCATGCTTTGTGTCTCGGGACTGAGGAGTGAGTACGGCACGGAGCACAGAGAGGAGGAGACGGAAACAGACAAGAGCAGAGGGGCGGATATGGTCAGATGCTGCAGGGCATTGCAGAGGACGTCACTGGCTGTGCGTGAGGGAGCCCGGGGCGGAGGAGCTCGGCTTTGGTGCACAGAGGCTCTAGAGACAAGAGGAGGGGTTACGAGCCTACTGCAGCTGGCCCAAGTCTAGTGGGGGCTGTGGGAGCCGAGGAGGGGATGGGCACAGGAGACTTTGGGCACTTGTACAGAAATGGGGTGGGATGGGGGCGTGGGAGGAGTCAGGGGTGACACCAGGAAAATGCTGAGCATAGCTGGAGATGCGTAGTCCCTCCAGCACCGGTGCTAGAGGGACATCTGGGTGCAAGTGTCCATCCAGAATGCATTCGGCTGGAAGAGGAAAGCCCAGGAAGGTGCCTTCTGCTAGAGACAGGCACTGAGAGCTCTTGGATGTGGGATTAGCTAACTGCTACAGGTGGCAAGCTTGGGAGGCCCATGCAGAGCCTTGATAATTTTCACCCGGAGACTATTTCCAGATGCAGTGCGGCCAGGGAAAAGGATGGGACTTGTCCCTGGTCACACATGAAAGTCCCTGCAGAACCGAGTTCCCTTCAGGGTTCTCTCCACCCCCACACTTCAGTGGCCCAGGCTCCAAGTGTCTGTGTTGCCGTTTGATATTGGTTAACTCGTTAATCTTCCCATTGATGCTTTGACGGGGGTGTAATGTTATCCTCATATTACACATGGGGAAATGGAGGCACAGAGAAGTTCATTGACTTTCTGATAGTCACACAGCTTGTAACAGAGTAAGGATTCCAACTCGGGCTCTGCTGCCTCTCAGAAAGCAACTGTGCCAGCTGAAACAGAGAAGGGATTGGGTGAAAGGATATCAAGGAGCTTGTAGAATCACTGAGTGGGCTGGAGAGCCAGATTCGGGGCCCCCAGCCAAGAGCTCGGGGCAGAGCTGGCCCAGTGAGGGAAACTTACTCTCCCTGAGTAAGACCCAGCCACCAGATGGGCCACACCCCTGCTACCACACCTGCCCAGGGTGCTTAAGCTTTCTGCAGTGGCCGCTGGGAGGCTTTCTCCCTGTTTCCGTCTTGTGGACCCCCAGCTCATGAATTCCCTTGGAGCAGGTGCATCGGGTGGGGTGGGGGAGTATGGGAGGCTCTAGGTCCCACACTGTAGCTCTGACTACAGGGGAACCTGGAAGGTGAGAACCTGGCATTTCAGCTCTGTGGCAGGAAGTGGCCTCTGCCCCCCACTCCCCCACAGGTTTCCCCGAGCCCATACAGGATGCAGGTTCAAATCCTGGGCCACTGAAAATTTCATCACGTCTATACATAGTATAAGCTGGAGCGATGCTGATCCCCTTCCTGGGCCTCAGTCTCCCTGTCTGCAAGGAGAAAGGAAATGGATTAGCCCCAGTGGGTTGGCCAGAAGCAGGCAACGTACTCCCTTTCCTCCTGCCCCCCACTGCTGTGTGCAGACTCTGGGCCCGTGTCTGCGTGTGCATGTCTGTGTGTCTCCCCGCCTCTGTTTCTCTCTAGGTGCGGCTCTGTCTTTGTCTGTGGGTGTTTTCTCTCTCTTCCTGTGTGTATGTCGCTGTCTTCCGCACTTTCTCTCTTGTTTCCTGTCTCTGCTTCCTTCTCTCTCCCTCCTTTCCACCTTCCATCCTCCGTCTTTCCCTCCCTCCCCCTCTCTACTCCCTCCTCCCTCAATCCTCTGCCTCTCCCTCCTCCCATCCCTCATTTTATCTGCCCTGCTCCCTCACCTCCTGCTGCCTGTTCCTCTGGCCATTGTAGCTGCAAGGGAGGGTCCTGCTGCCTCCCGGATGGGGCTCATTTTCCCCCTGCAGCCTTGCTAAACCCAGCACAGCTCGGCCCCGGTCTCCTTGACCTCAGACTCCCACCATATCCTGTTGGGAACTGTTGGGCCCGTGGTACTGAGGCATCTGTCAGGATAGGGGGGAACCAGACACCCCACCTAGCCTAACCCCGTGGAGAGGGTTAGGCTCTCTAATTTTTTAAAAAATATTTCATTTATTTGTTTGTTTATTATTTTAGAGAAAGAGAGAAAGCACAAGTTGGGGAGACAGACAGAGGAAAAGGGAGACAGAATCCTGAGCAGGCTCCACACTCAGCATGGAATCAGATGTGGGGATCGATCCCATGATGT